TCCATTCTTTAAATATAATCAACTATACTTTTATGTAGGTATGTTCTAAACTGTGCCTCAAGACCTAGGACCTTCCTTTCTCTGCTCTTCAGCTTAGTTGACCACTGGATACATCACTACCCACACGGCTAATAGAAACTGTATTTTGAGTACCCATACAGCCATTCTGTTTTTCACTTTCAGTAAAATATTCAATAAATTACATAAAATATTTAACACTTTATTACAAAATAGACTTTGTAGCCGGGCTCGGTGGCTCAGCCTGTAATATCGCGCCTTTGGGAGGCTGAGGTGAGTGGATTGCCTGAGCCCACGGGTTCGAGACCCGCCTGGGCAGGCAAGACCTCATCTCTACAATAAATAAAAAAAAAAAATCAGCCGGGTGTGGTAGCGCATGCCTGTAATTCCAGCTACTCAGAAGGCTGAGGCGGAAGGATCGCAGGAGCCCAGCAGGTCGAGGCTGCGGTGACCAGGAGCGGCCACTGCACTCCAGTCTGGGTGACAGAGTGAGACTCTAACTCAAAAAATAAAAATAAAAATAAAATAAAATAGACTTTGTATTTGATGATTTTTCCCAATTGTAGGCTAAAGTAAGTGTTCAGAGCCCATTCAAGGTAGGTTAGGCTAAGCTATGATGTATTAAATACATTTTGCCTTATGAGATTTTCAACTTGCAATGGGTTTACCTGGACATAATCCCATGGTAAATAAAATAACATTCGTACTGTTTATTCAAAAAACAAGACTCCTCCACATATATATGTTGACATATGCATATATTATTATGTAATTACCCAGAAAGAAAACTGAAACAAAACCCCTCAAAATGTGGGCAAAAGTTATTTCTGCTGAAAAAAGTAATAGGAAAAATATGGTAGAGAGAGATGATCGTATATACTTTTCGGACTAGCATGTTGACATTTTGAACATAAAATTGAATTTATATAATACTTTATAAATGAAACTAAAATAAAAGGTAGTCTTCCATTATTTCTTTGTTATTTAAAAGAATATTAATAATGCTTTACTTAATAAGTTAAACCTAAGACATTGCTCAAGTTGACACAGAATTTTTTGTCTTTAACATGTTTCTCTCCTCTTCCTTAAAACCCCACAAAAGCAGCAGTTTAAGGCATGCTGTTCTGTCATAGATTTGTCTGCTTCGTTAATGACTGGCACATCTGTCATTTCTCATTACCCACTCCTACCCACACAAGTCATCTGCCTTCTGCTGAGGTCAGAAATGGCAGCTCAGTCCTGAAATAATGTTCTTCTTTTTTAAAAAAGTTAAAGAAATATTTTAAAACTGTGCTTAACTTTTATCACTAAAACCTTTATAATTATATTCACCATATCTGTCTCTGACTTTAACAAACCATCGGGTGATACTCTCATCCTAGAGAAACTCAGAAAGTATGAAGTCTCAAAGAAACATGGTATAAGTAGCTTGAAAACTTTACCACCCCAGAGACTACACTACAGTGAATATATGTCTCACACTCTCCCTGGAACATAGGTCACAGAAGAAAATGGATTATTTGTTTTGCTGTAAAGTATGTTATTTCAGACTCTACTTAAAATATGCTTTATCCATGGGTAAACATCTGGTCAGATACAATGTCTGTCTGGTAAGATACAGTCTATACTCTTTAACTTTATTAACTTGACTCTTACTTTCCCTCCTCTATTACATTTTAGAGAATTCTACAATGTTTTAATAGCATTTTCCACACATACTAATTTGGATGGTTTGGAAGTGCTGCATAGCTTCCAGAAATATCAAGAGTTTCTTCCCTTAGCTAGGTCTTGGGACTTCCGGACTCCCTGCAGCATCAAAAAGAATGCCTTTCATTAAGTCTTACAGCTCACTAGATGCCCTGATTGGAGGTCTCTTCTCAAAGAAGATTAATTTAGGCAACATAGGGTGAAATGTTCTGGCACATGGGAGGTATTCAGAGATTCAGAGAGAGAGAGACACAGAAAGACTTAGTTTTCATGTGATTCTAAAATTAGCTCAAAAAAGAAATGAGAAAGGTCTCATTCTCTGGGATTTTTTTTTTTCTTAAGTTTTTTTTTTTCTTTTTGGTGACTTCTGCTTTAAGTTATTCAGTTTTATAAATACATGCTCTTAGAATTTAGATATTGACCTCTCTTTTCTAGGACATGTTTAAAAGTAACTATACTATTATTATTAGTGCTGTTATTAATATTATTTATTTTATTGGTAATGCTTTGTCTTTTGTAATTCAACTAAAATAATATTAACAGCGTTTAAAGTAAGCAATGAGATGAAAAGGTTTTTACTGTTTTAACATAATACCTACAGTTTCTTTTTCATCTGAGATGCCTAGCAGAGATTAGTACACTCAGTAAGAAAATATTAAATAAATTCTTGCTGACTTGAGTAGAAAAAATAAAAGTCCCTCACCCAGACTCAATAAGCAAAAATACTGAAGCAACTAGTGCCAAGAGCAATTAGAACAGAATTATCATAGTTACATAGAATATTTTTCATACAGCTATTGGTCATTTGTATTTCTTCCTATACCAGTTACCTTTTTATAAAACATGTATTATTAGAAAGAGCCTTATTTTTTTTTTCATGATTCATAGAAATCATATTTCTTCCCATTCAAACTAAACTTTTCTCTAAAACAACATGATTTCCAGAAGCTAACTCTAGTAGGTCCTCTATTATCTGTGTTACTTTGGGCCTTTATCTTTTGATCATTTGCTTTCCAGCTATAAAATGAATCCAATTTTTATTATAATTATGAAACAGCAATTAAAAATGTTTGACATAATCCTGCACTACATAGAAAAAAAATACTACCTAGTTGGTTCCCAACTTTGATAAAGGGCTATAAACACTAATCATCAGGAAATAGTCCAGCTGTTGGAAATAAGTGATCCAATACGGCAACACCTTTGAGATCCACATATTTTAAAAAGAAGGATTATTAGGAGAGGGAGAGAAAGAAGTAGACAGAATATAAATCTATTTCCCAGCTCTATATGGAGACAATCATACTTAGTGATCTATCACAGAAACAAAAAACCAAATACCACACGGTCTTACTCATAAGTGGGACCTGATCATTTATCACAGTAGCACAAGGGAGGGATGGGCAATCGAGGGATACTGCAGGGGAAGAGGGCGGCATGCAACAACACAAAGGATATCTGGTCCTAAGTGAGGACCAATTGGAGGCCCAAACTTCACCTGCATGTAGATTATCCTTACTTGTACCCCACATCTTTAAAATAAAATAAAGTAAAATGTGTGTGTGTGTGTGTGTGTGTGTGTGTGTGTGTGTGTGTGTGCGCTTATGTATCCCAGCTCTACATAATTTGACTTTTAAAAGAATTAATTTAAATAGAAAATATGAGTAATTTAGAGAGAAAGTTTCTATGATTTGTTGGTAAAGAATCTAATTAGTTTGTATACATCATTATTCTGACACAGCCAAAGGAAGTCTTCCAACAATCATGGCTAAGAAGTGCACAGTGTATTTAAAAAATCATGGCTTCTTAGTCCAAGGCAGATAAGACTGACAGGAAATCGCTTCTTATGGAAATGTTGGAAATAGAAGAAATTATCTGACTCTGAAAATGCGTAGTCCAAGTCTTAGATCATTTGTAACACTAAAATTTTTTTCCCAAACAACTTGATGCACAATATTCCTGACAGTCTTCATCACAGACTTTAGTTCAGTTTTGTCCATGCAGAGAGACCTAGATTTTAGTTTCTCAGAAACCATCTTGTTTTTAATTAGAAATGTAATATAAACAGTGTATTCTGTGATCCTACATTATGTCTGGCAAAATGGGCTTGCAAACATTTTAGAGTTTTACACTCAATACTATACCTCAAGATTCACCGTGGCTGTGGTTTAACTCAGGTTTTGAGTAATTTCTTACAGATTACACAAGCTTTGAGTTTCATGATCAGAGAACATTTCTTCCTAATACCCATATTTATCCTCTTCATGCCTGGAATATTTACTCTTTCACAGATGGTTAGCCAACTTCTCCTTGACTGGTTCATCTGCTCTTGTACCTAATTAACAGTCTACATTCATTTGTGAAAAATGTTTTGCCTTTTTTGTCAAGACTAATATTAGTACCTCAGTATTTCACTGACTGATTCATTCATTTATTTATTCATTGGTGAACCAATTGTTGATCTTCAGTATGTGCTATTATTTTCTAGTACTTCAAATTTATATAAAGGGACCATTTTTCTACCATGTAGTCCCTAAACAATAAAATGTCCTTTTTAAAAGGAATGTTATTTTACCTCAGATCCACAGTATTGAATTGATCATAATTCTATATTCATGCCATATTCTCATCCTTTTTTAAATCTATTTTATATATGTCCATTTACTCATTAACAGAATCACACATATGAAAACATGATGCAATGCAAGAATTAAACACTTTATAATGTGCTCATATGCTTAGGTGCACATCTTCATGTCTACATTTTGGCCTCCCTTTACCTGAGTTTACTTACATCTCACATCTTCTCTTTGTTGTTTGATACATAGTTTATCATACATATACAAGCTCTTGTAAATATAATGCTCTATTACTTTTCACTTGGTGAAATTTTGCTAAATAGATCCATTTTGGACTTGTTTTCACTATTATATTTTACTAAGATATATCTATATGATTTTATGTAGAAGTACTTCATTTGTTGTGGTTCAGAACAACATCCTATTATTTTGTCAATGGAAACTATTATAAATTTCTTTTTGTACACATACACAAGAGTTTATCTTAGAATGTCAGTGGGACTGAAATTACAAGACCACAAAATGCACAAATGCTAAATTGCCCAAGAGAAGGTCAAACTTTTTTGGCAAAGTAATTGTACTATTATTCACTTTCATCAGTAGTGTTTAAGAAATCCTCTGGATTAATATACTGTTTATTCAGAAGATCTGATGTTATGCCTGTTTTTCAGATGAATTTAGAAGAAACTGGACAAAATGGAAGAAGCAAACCAGTCTGTGGTGTCTGAATTTGTTATTCTTGGGCTTTGTAATTCATGGGAGCTCCAGGTCTTCCTCCTTTTGATATTTTCTTCACTTTATTTGGCCACTACTTTAGGCAACATTTTCATTGTGGTCATAATCATTACTGATCTCCATCTTCACTCCCCTATGTACTTTTTGTTAGCTAATCTGTCATTCATTGACTTCTGCCTTTCCTCAGTCACTACCCCTAAAATGATCACAGACTTTCTCAACAAAAACAAGACCATCTCCTTTGGAGGATGCATGTGTCAAATTTTCTCTGGACATTGTTTTGGAGGGCTTGAGATGGTGCTGCTTGTGTCAATGGCCTTTGACCTTTATGTGGTCATCGGCAAGCCACTCCAGTACTCCAATATCATGAATAGACATATGTGTATTGGGTTAGTGATGACATCATGGATCATTGGCTTTATGCATTCAATAAGCCAACTAGTTATGATTGTAAAGCTGCCCTTCTGTGGACCCAAGGAATTAGATAGCTTTTTCTGTGATATTCCATTGGTAATCAAACTGGCCTGCAAGGACACCTATATTCTAGAGGTGTTGATAAATGCTGATAGTGGAGTACTGGCAATCATCTGCTTTATTCTGTTGCTGATCTCTTACTCCCATATTCTCTTCACTGTTTGCCTTCACTCTAAGGATGGAGTATCCAAGGCCCTCTCTACCTGTGCTGCCCACATCACAGTGGTAGTGTTATTCTTTGGGCCCTGTATCTTCATCTACTTGTGGCCAGTCAGCATCACCTCGGTTGACAAGTTTCTTGCTGTATTTTATGCAGTCATTACACCTCTCCTAAATCCAGTCATTTATACCCTAAGAAACAAAGAGATTAAGATTGCCACAAAGAGACTACTAGGTTATTAGCATATGGATTTCAGTGGGTATTTCAGGATTTCACATTATTAGAATGCTCACTGAAAAGTCTCTAAATTAGCCATACTCGTCCTGTTTCTCTAAACTGGGAAGCATTCTCCAATTCAGATGGTAGGCATATGTCTCCAGATTAAAGATCTGTGTCAGTTATATTAAATTCCACAATTAGCCGGGCTCAGTGGCTCAGCCTGTAATCCTGCACTTTCAGATGCTGAGGTGAGTGGATTGCCTGAGCCCACGGGTTTGAGACCCGCCTGGGCAATTTGACGAGACCTCATCTCTACAATAAATCAAAAATTAGCCGGGCGTGGTAGCGTGAGCCTGTAGTTCCAGCTACTTGGAAGGCTGAGGCGGAAGGATCGCCAGAGCCCAGCAGGTCGAAGCTGCGGTAGCCAGGAGTGTCCACTGCACTCCAGTCTGGGCGATGGAGTGAGACTCCAACTCAAAAAATAAAAATTAAAATCCCACAATTATTTACTGATAATTGAACACAAAATGATTGTCTGCGAATTTGGTCAGTCTTTTCAAATTGAATTTTTGTTGTGCTCAAGGATGACTTGAAATTAGTAACATATTAATGTTACTTATTATTTTTGGTGCTGCTACTTCAATACCAGCCACCACATATTGAAATATTCTCTCATGCTAAGCATTTCTTTGAGCAAAATATGCCACGTCTTATCTAATTTTTTAAAATAAACCAGTGAATTGAGTATTGATATCTTCATTTTTACAAATTAATAAATTAGTCTTCCAATTAGTAAGCATTTTACCTAACTTACCTAGAGACAACTGTAAATGTCATTATTAAGCATTCCCCATCACACTCAGAATAAAATTGAATCAAGCACAATATGGAGGTAGTGTTGTTCCTTCAACTTTATATCCCAGTCATTTGTGAAGCAGTGTAATTGTCTTTAGAAGATATGCAATAAAAACAAAGATGGGTGCACTAACAACCATACGGTCTTGCTTCTTCTCTTTCTCTTAATAATGTGCTAAGGAGTTCCTTATTTATGCCAGATAAAATTGGGGCAAAGTGTTATGTTTTCAAAAATAACTGAAGATGCACAAAGATCTGTTTATATAGGTTATATCTATTAATATTTACCTTTTTATAAATTCAAAGTAAAAAATTTAAATGCTTATGTATCAACTTATTTAAAAACAACAATAGTAAGACATTACATGTTAGCATGAATATTATATTTAAGGAAAAGTAACAAAATTTTTCAAAATATAATAGAGAATGGAATTGTTTTACATATTTGCAAATTTCTTTAGCATATGACTGAATAAAAGTAGTTGATTTCTTTTATCTGCCTTTGCATTGAAACTACAAGTGAGTTTTAGCACAAAGCAAGGCAGTGGCATCAAACAATACTTGATATCATGATGTCCCTCACCACCACAAACTCACAGTAAAAAAAAAAAAGTTGAAAGTTTAATCATTTTTATAATTATTTCTATACATGTTACAATGTCAGATAGTATTTGTTTTTGTCAGTATTTTGGTAGTGGTTTTAAGCAGTCAATATTCTATATTTCTTTCTTTTGATGATTTTCATTCCCGTCTGCCACTTGGAAAAATGTTTTTTCAACCTGAAGAACTCTCTGTACATTTTGTCTTGCAATAATTATCTAAATTATTGTTCATATGAAAGTGTCTTTACATTTCCTTAATATTTGAGAGATATTTTTATTAGGCATAGAATGAATTCTAGGGTGTCAGATTTTATCAGAATTTAAAATGTTATTCCAATATTTCTGGTTTTCACATTTTATGTTGAACAGTCATCAGTCATATTGTTGTTAATTTGGAGAAATTATTTCTTTTTTCTGCTGCATTGAAATATGGATTTTTTTGTCTGTGGTTTTAGCAAAGTCACTGTAATATGCATATGATGTAACTTTCTTTACATTTATCAGTCTAATTGTTCACTGCATTTCTTGAATCTATGGGTTGTATCTCTTACCAGTTTTTAAAATATTGTTTCCCATTCTCCTCCTTTTATTCTAGCAATCACTTACACATGTTAGAGCATTACACATGGTCCCAATTGACATTCTCTGTTATCATTGTTAATGTTTTTATGCCTCTATTCTTTAGGCTGGGTAATTTCTGTTGATCTCTTTGAGTCTACTTATCTTTTAAGTCTATTCAAACAAACTTAAAGGTTTCAAAATTTTATGTTTTTCAATTCTAAAATATTACTTGGTTCTTTCTTAATTATTTCAATCCTCTGTTGAAATTCATCATTTTTGGATTTAGAGTCAATCATACTCAGTGATCTATCACAGACACAAAGAACAGAGTTCCATATGTTCTCACTCATAAGCAGACCTTGAAAAATTATCATAATACTCTAAGAAAGGAATTGGCAGTAGTGGGAAACTGCCAGGGGAGGGGGCATGAGATTGGCAGTTGAGGGAAATAGCTAGGGGAGAGGCATATCTCATCAACAAAGGTACCTGGATCAATGTTTGTATACCTAACCCTGAATTGTACCCCACATCTTTAAAATAAAAAAATTTTTTTAATTCATCTTTTTATCAGTTTTCAACTTCTAATGTTTTTATAAAATGTATAAAATTATTTTAAACTCTTTTTCTGCTAATTTCAAAAATTGAGTTACTTATGGTCTGCTTCTATTTACTATTTTCCTCTTAATTATGAATTACACACTCCTGATTCTTCACATGCCTCAGTTATCCTATATATTTTATACATTGTGTATAAAAGAATCATAGAATTCTGACTTGTATATTCTTCCAGACACTACTTCTTAATTGGATCAGTACTGAATTGACTTGAGCTTGGATCATAGTTATTTTTTAAAATTTGTTATTTTAAATACATGAGGTACAATTCAGGGTTAGGTATACAAATGTTCATTATGCAAGTCCCTTGTTGATGAGGTGTGCCTTCCCCTCCCCTGCCAGTTTCCCACTACTGCCAATCACTTTCTTATAGTATTACAATAGTTGTTCAAGGTCCACTTATGAATGAGAACATGTGATACTCAGTTCTTTGTTTCTGTTATAGACAACTCAATATTATAGCCTCTAAATACATCCAAATTGCAGAGAAGTCCATAATTTTGCCATTCTTTATGTGCATAATATTCCATCATATATATGTATCACTTTTTTTATCCAGTCCTCTTTCAATGAGCAAAACGGTTAGTTCCATGTTTTTGCTATTGTAAATAATGCAGCAATAAGCATGCATGTGTAGGTATCTGCTTCTTAGAGTGGTTTTTAGGTAAATCCACATGTGAAAAAATGCAGAAAAAATATGACATTTTAAGATTCAAAAATGTAAATATCTATACAAAATTTTAGAATAAAAATAAATATATGAAAATCGTTGTTCAATATAGAGATAAACTAAATGTAAAATAAACAAATACATAAGTATTATGGATAAAATAAGAAATCCAAATATTCAATAAACATATGAAGAACATTAATCAAAACCAGTAAATAAAAAATAAGATAGTTGTTATTATGTTTGTTAAAATTATAAAAGTTTAAAATAAATGAAAAAAACATCATGATTGAGGCTGTGAGGAAACAGACATCCTCTAACCTTACAATTGAATGTATAAATTTATTTATCTTCTCCAGAGCACAATTTCAAAACATATATAAACCATCTAAAAATCGAATTATGAGGCAACCCCCTCGGGTCCCCTCCCACTCTGGGAGCTTTTCTGTCCTCTCAATAAATCCTACTTTCTTTAAAAAAAAAAAAAGTTGAATTATGATTAAGAACCCATTGAGATAAATTTTTATTAAGCTAATAACCAAAAATGAGCTAAAATGTTTAGCCATTAATTATTTATAAAAGGAAAAATTGAAAATAACCTAAATTCAAAAAGTGAATAATTAAATCATATATAGTACATCCAGCTGGGAAAGGTATTCAGCCTTACATGCAGAAAAATAATATGAAAGCATGTTCATAATGTAACTTTAATTAAAGAGATGAGTTTACTACACTAAATGTATAGGCAACACATATTTAAAACATTATCCTGTGAAATAAAAATAAAGGATAATAATATGTTGTTGATCTCTGGACTCATATGTATTTATTGATTTGAACCATATGGAATTTCCATTTCAGTAAATCAAAAAAATGGCCAAATATCAATTTCAAAGAGTCCTATCTAGATTTTTTTTTACTTATAAGTCTGGTTGTTAGATTTCTTTATAATATTTTCTAAACTACTCTCCCTGTTGACAAACAAACATCATTAACTCTTGTTCCACACTGAATTAAATACAATGGGCTCCCACTTGCACTGTCACTACCGTGATTTCCCCCAAGCCCACACCACTGACTTTCTCATGTCCTCACTCTTCCCTGTGTCACTCCACACCAAGCCCAGGTTCCCACAGCACTGCCTCAGCAAGAGAGCAACATGAGCTGATGGGAGCATCATGAATACATCAGAGTCGAGAATGGACTTGAGGGCACCAGGCCACAGAGGACTTGGCCTACTAAGGATAATGGACATAGAGCAGGTGTCGTGGCCAAAAGGAAACATTAAAGGAGAGGTGCTAGGAGGCCCTACCCCAAGGGCAATAGAGGCAATAATTTTACAGCCAATAATTGACAAAGTAGAGCAGAAGTGAGCAAGAGAAAATAAGACAATCACTGAGGTGAATGACAGTAAATGTGAATTGCAAGGAGCTGCTAACTGCTTAAATATTTTGACCATGTAATGTGTGGATTTTAAAGAATGTATATTCTGAAAAATAAAAAGTACATCCAGTATGATTTCAACTATAAAAGATAAAGAAAACTGTTTTACAAATAACTGATTTTAAAAATGATCCAAAGATCTTAGCAGACACCTCACCAAAGATTTACAGATGGCATATATGCTCATGTAGAGAAGTTCCACATCACATGTCATCAGGGAAATGCAAATTAAAAAACAAGGAGATACCTATTTGAGTGGTCACCTATTTGAGTGGTC